CTCACTGGAGACAATGGTGTACAGTGGTGCAACTTCGTGGATCGGTTGGAGTTAGACATTAATACCATTAGATGCCGGCTCAGTGGTCTAGTTGGTTAAGTGCCTGTCGCGAGAATGATAGGCTCTGGGTTCGAAATTCGTGGGGTGCGGGATCGTGGATGCGCACTGCTGAGGATTCCCATACTAGGGCGAAACGGCCGTCCGGTGCTTCCAGGTTTTCCATGGTGGTCTAGCTTCAACTGACTCATGATTTCAGTCTGTGAAAAATGAGTTATAATAATTTTGATAAAAAGCCAGTTGTTCTTCACAGTTTTTCTACTAAATTTTAAAATACGCATTCCTAAAATTTCAAATCCTTTAAATAATTTCCGTTTGTACAATCATTTATACATTCAACGCAATATTTTAGCCCGTTTTCTATTACCTCGGTGCTGACTGGGCTGGTAACATGAGTACTGAAATGGAAGAATATGTCAGTGTAGTACGTGCTTTTGCGAAACGTGCTAAACAGCCGACTGTGATTGATGGGGAAGTATAATCTCATTGGAAACCAACGAGGAGTGAAATGCCACTTGATAATCATGCTTCTACAGCAAAAATTTAATACTCGAATAACCCATCACTGTTCTTGATAGTCCCGACAAAGAAGTGGAAGCACAAAAGCCAAAGGCGGTACCCACTCGGTTGACAAGTAATTGGTGGACTCCCATTATGTCTCACAAAATACACTACCAAAGTCTGAAATTAAGAAGGAAATCTACCCTGTTGTGTCCAGAGAAAGCCTAATCTTATAAAATATTGTTGTAAGTAATTTGCCATAATCAAATGATTTCGATCCTGGTCCCAAAAGTAGACAAGGGCATGGTTTGGAAAAGCTAGGAGAATATATTCGTAGTATTTTACCGGATAACTCTAAAGGAGTTCAGGTCAAAAAATTGGTAAGAATAGGCAAGAGGACTGAGGACAATCTTGAGCCCCGACCACCCAGACTCCTTAAGGTAATCCTAGGATCGGAGAAGCAACGTGATCTTCTGCTAAGTGGCGCTCGTAGTCACGACAATACCGACATCCGAGTAAGACCTGATATGCCTCTTGAAGATAGAATAAAAAGGAAGACGGCACTATCTGAACTAGAAACCCGTCTACAAAACGGTGGGGAAAATCTGCGATTATTGGGTTTTCGGTTGGTCAATTCTTTGAGAAGTAATATAAATATTTTCCATACTTTTTGGAATTCCTTTGGCGCACCATCAAATTCAATCCAGCTTGCTAAACGCCTTTTCAGTATTATACGTTGAAACGCCTCGCTCACGTCAACTGAAATGTCTCTTGAACATGAAGCACCTATTAATTATTAGAACAGTTATTCCTTGCAATAATTTTTTCACCAACTGAAGGAAGTACTACAAATATTTAAGTCTTACCGGTTACTGGATATTTCGTCTTTACTTCTGAGTTTAACAGCGATTCACACAAACTTCGCGTATCTATACTTCCTGAGTTTATCTTATCTTTTTAACGTTGTTTTCTAGACCTTATCCTGAAATTAAATAAAGGCGTTGAGGTTCACTACAGCAATTGGGATCACAGACCAAGTTACGAAGCAACAATATTGTTGCTGTATATAGAGCCAACTTGTACACTACAAAATTGAGACTGCTAAATTATTGCTTTTGGCAGCTATTTTGTGTTTTAATACAGCAAAAGACGACTTAAACATGAGAAAACGTAATATTCATGCAACAGAAACAACCCACGACAAAAGAAATACGGAATGACCGCCTCCAGTCAGGTCGTTCAAGGTCATTGAAACGAGGCGACGGGTTTGAAAAATTCCGACGTGCACTTTCCGGGCCATCCATATTTTTTCCTGTTTTTTTCCAGTTCTCTCCACTCAAAATACTCAAAATACTTCACTTGCACATAGTATATCTTCCAGCCAGACTCACACTGTCGCATATGCATCAATCATTATCCTTTAACCTGCATTTAAGTTTTTCCCACCGTTCCTTTGCCTCTAATGTAGAGTTTTGTAGGATTGGTAAAGCCTAGCTGTTTAGTTTGCTCAAGTTTTAGGAAAACTTTACTCAGATAGGTGGTTTTCATGCACCAATGCATCCTTATAATAATTCACAACTAATGTGGTTGGGTCTTCGTATATAAATACAAACATAAGCTTAATGTTGTAGCAATAACGGTTCAGGGAGTATGATAGTCTGGCACGTAGTTGTCTTCCTTTTGACTATTTAGCAGGACGAGCGTGTTGGTAACTGTAATTTGACTCCGGATTTTCTCTAAACAGAGTAACAAATCCCTTAACTACCACCTGCGCCTACAAAATGTCGTAAATATCATTTATGAGAGAAGAGAAAAATAGATGGTATATATGGCATATGGTATCTAATGGTTTTTTATAAACTACTAGACAATTTCAGATTTATAATCATATCACCCCGGGTCGTTTTATGATAAGATAGTAGGCTTCAACCGGTTAAAATAAAGAATTTTTGAGATCACATAATTACGTTTCGTCACAATTCCAAGCAATAACTATCTGCTTTGGTATCACTGAGATTTTGGTGAACAAGTGCTGCATACTGATATTCTGTTGACCGTCTGCTGCAACTGTGCCCAGACAATCGTTTATTTTTAACAAGCATTAGTTTTAAGCACAAGGAGGGACATCGTCTAAAATGGCGGTCGCCTGCACCAAACCAACGATGGACTCAACTAGACCATATTGCCATCAGTCATCGTTGTTGAGGTTCGAAAGAAGACTACTGCTCGTTCTGGAATACATGCTTGGACTCCGATCATGTTCTAATACAAGCACGTATTTGCTTGTGCTTCACTGGACACGGTAAAGCCACATTAAGAAGACTCATTCGAGTTAAACTCAGTGACGAGAAAGTCAAAAGTAGATTCCAGGAACAACTTAGGCAATTCCGAAAACGAGGTCGACCCGGATGTTGCTTAGCAAGATATACAAACAGCAGTGACATCTACTAGTGATTTGAAACAAAGGACCACGAATAACCAGTGCATTTGTGCTACATCTGTTGCACTGCTAGACTCTCGTAAACTTATCCCATCAGGCTCCGAACACGATGATAAGCGAAAACAAATCAAATCTAGGTTAGCCCAAAGTCTATGGAACGATCGTGAGCAGTGGTGGGCAACGAAAGCAAAACAGATGGAAATGGTAGCGACTGTAGGTAACACCAGGCAGCTTTCCAGACTAATAAAGGAAACCGAAATTGAGAAGTCAAGTGTAAGACAATCTCTGAAAAAGACAACATTCTCATCTACTCGCAGTACAGAGGTTTAGAACGATGGAGGAAACGCTTTAAGGAGAAGTTGGGCTTGCCTCCAACTATTTCACAGCTACCTACCATTTTTAAACATCCTGAACGGAACATTGAAATAGGCCCTTGACTCTAATTGAAGTTCAAAAAGCTGTAGCTAATCTGAAACGAGGAAGAGCAGATGGATTGGCTCAAGAGGTCTTTAAGTAAGGTGGTCCAATTTTAGCGATTAGGTTGATTAATATTTTAGCTAAAATCTGGGAGTTGGATGTAATCCCATCTGACTGGTCGCAATCACTGATTGTCCCAATATATAAGAAGGAGTCAAAATCATCCTGTGATAACCATGGAGGGACTAGTTCAACTAATATAGCATGTAAAATACTAGCCTCAATTGTTGTCGGACGCCTAACTAAGACTCGTGAACTGCAAACACGAGGAAATCAGGCTGACTTCAAACATGGTCGTGGCTGCATCGATCACATATTCACCATTCGCCAGATCTTAGAACACAGACATGCTTATCGGCGTACGACAATGGAAGTTTATCTTGACTTAAAAGCAGTATTTGACTCTGTAGACCGAGAGGTTCTGTGTCAGTGTCTGTCATTGAAAAGTGTTCCTCAGAAGTACATAAACCTTGTGAATGCTCTGGTTTTATGTTCTGGCTGATTGAGTCCTCCACTTGTCCTTCAAAGTATTAGCTTCTACGTCATTTTGTCTGCGAAAATCACTCATATATTCGATACATACTTAAAGAGTTTTTGGAGGACTTTACTTTTCTGTTTAAGCTAACTTATTTAATATGATCCTTGTCGCAACATTGTGGTACTTAATACGTAGCTGGATACCTTGTTTAAGAGTATCTGTGTCAGATATGGCATTTGATCAGGATGGCCCACGTTACCATCGATCACTAATTAATTCTGGCTGGCATTTGTACACTACCGAACTCACGAAATTGATCTCAACATTTGCTATCATTTTTTATCCATAGTGCTTTACTCAGTGTCATTAATTTTGCGAAAATTTCAAAGACAGTTATTTACACCAACTTATTAAATCTATTCAGTATGGTATTCACCAGATTACTACTTTTACCGTACTCACCATCGAAACTTCCATCTGACGCTATCGTAGGTATCCTTCTGCAGATAATGCTTCTTGTGACCGGTTTTTCAAGGATTGATTTGTCACTGGATCCACTTTATTTAACTTCAGTCTCATCGACCCTAGTATTTGCTGTATGGTGAAGATTCGATATAAGTTCACAAGACTGTCTTGTATTTTCGGGTTATGTGTGGCGTAGGTTGTCCATCTGGCATCCAAGCAGCGAATATATTGTGTAGAAGTTGCTTATCTCCTTTTTAGGTATGTATGGACTGCGATTTTCTAGTATTTATCTAGACAGTTTCATCTCACTGATCTGAAGCAGATGGACATATGTACCGGTTTCTACGTTGCCTATAACTGACCAGCTCTTAAAGGAAGGGGAGTTGCTGTTAGTGTATTTTCGTAACGAATAATTCTGTAATTCGCAGCACTAAATATACACTAGAGACATCGTGTTGCTTTGCTTCAGTCACAATGTGTTTTGCTCTCGAGACGTTCATAAACTTTAATCTGGTTCCTTAGTAGCTTTTTGTAAGTATGGTTATCAGCTTATAATTCAATCTTTTTTTATTTCAAAGAAATATGCAGCCCCCTCTTGTCATGAGAATACTTGCTGCCTCTGTGTCTTTAGCCGATAAGGCCTGTTTTTTGATTCGTGCGGTATATGATTCCAAAGACTTGGCCATTATCGACAAAGGAGTTGACGATTTGCAATCCAGAGCTGATCGAGATTCTCAACGGTGCATAGTACAATCCTTGAACGAGACCTTCCCGGGTCTTCATGTTATTGGTATATTTAATGTTTACTCTAATAACTCGAAAAATAGGCGAAGAAGGTGATCTGGATCCTGGAGATCTATCTACGTCCACTGAGTTGAACTCAACTGTTCTTGAACACCACTGTCCTCCAGAACTAAAAGATTTGTCACTGGAGGATATTGTAGTTTGGGTGGATCCACTGGATGGTACAAAGGAATTTACTGAAGTATGTTTATCTATTTGAATTTTATTCATGATATCAAGTAAAATACAACCACATACTAACAGTAGATGTCCATTCATGGTTTTAAACTCTTAAGTAAAATTAATTTTCCCTGTGTACGTGCTTCTTCTAAATACAGGGCCTTGTTGAGTTTGTTACAGTTCTTATCGGAATTTCGATTGCTGGAAAGCCTGTGGGTGGTGTTATCGCTCAACCCTTTTACAAAGCCAATACAACTGAGCCTCACTACACGACTCGAATCGTTTGGGGACTTGTAGGTCTGGGTGTGTTTGGCATAAATCCTCTGGTACCTTCTTCAAAATTGCCATATCCAGTCAACCAAAATGCCCAAAAACTTACTTCACCTCATATTATTGTGGTTACTCGATCCCATCGCTCTACTACTCAGGATTTTGTCGACGGAGCATTCTATCCCACTGAAGTAAGCATTATTGTATTGTTACAATACATTTTTGAATTTCTTGTGTAGGTATGTTCAACACTTTTACATATCACATAGTTCTCAAATATTTGATATTGATCTGTAATTGTGGGTGTAAAATGCTTTGTATCGCTCTTAAAATCAAATAATCTATTAAACTCTACCCTGGGAGTTGAAAGGTCTTCATTTTGAAGAGTTATAAAGCCTCATATTGGGAGCCGAAATTCTTTGCAATTCACGAGGCTGATACTCTTCTAACAACCAGAGAAACAGTTTTTATAGGTACATGGAACGTTCGGACAATGTGGAAGACTGGTAAGATCATACAAATAGAAACGGAAACGAGGAGATACAACTTTAACGGTGCTTGGAATCATTGGAACCCATTGATTCCAAGCTGGACAGGAAAAGTTATATTCGGAAGAGATGCTGTTGTACTCAGATCACGGAGAGGAAAATGCTCCTCACACTCAAGAAGTTGCTTTGACGCTGTCCAAAGAAGCACCTAACGCACGTGTAGGACGGGAATCATGGATCCTGGATCATCAAAGCGTCATTCAAAACAAAGGAGGGAATCACAATGAATGTTATCCAGTGTTATGCACCCACCAATTATAGCAGTGACAACGATAAAGATCAGTTCTACGGGAGGCTGCATTCGATCATAGTGAAATGTCCAGGAGAGAACCTGACCATCCTAACGGGAAACTTAAACGCCAAAGTCGGAATGGACAACAACGTTTATGAGGATATCATGGGATGACACGAACTGACTGAGAGATAGGAATGAGAATGGCGAGGGACTTGTAAATTTATGTGTATTCAACAAAATGGTTTTAGGTTGCACAATATTTCCCCACAAACACATACAAAAATCTACATGGGTCTCACCGGACCACACCACGGAGAATCAGATAGATCACATTTGTATCAATAAAAAATTCCAAAGGACAATTGAGGATATGAGAACCAAGAGAGGAGCTGACATAGCTTCAGATCACCACCTGGTGGTGGCCAAGATGAAACTGAAGCTAAAAAAACACTGAACAGCTGGGGAAACAGCATTAAAAAGGTTTAATGCATCGTCCTTTCGAGATACTAACAAACTCAATCAATTCAAGATAACTCTCAACAACAGGTTTCAAGCCTTACAGGATCTAGTAAGGGAAGAAGAAACTACTATGGAGGAAAACTGGAAAGGTATCAAATAATCACTAAATTCAACATGTCAGGAGATTCTGGGCCGCAAGAAGCATCAACATAATGAATAGATCGCCATCGAAACCCTAGATAAGATTCAGGAAAGGAAGAACGAGAGTACAGCAATTAACAACAGCCGAACAAGAACAGAGAGAATCAATGCACAAGCTGAGTACACAGAAGCAAATAGGAAAGTGAAAAAAGCATTAGAACTGACAAGCAGAAATATGTGGAATACCTAGTAACAACAGCGGAAAAGGCTGTAAGTGAAGGAAATATGAGACAGCTATATGATACAATGAGGAAACTAGCAGGGAAATATAGTAAACCAGAGAGACCGGTCATGGACAATGAAAGTAAGCCAATCACTTAGATTCAGGGACAGAGGAACAGACAGGTGGAACACTTTGAGGAACTCTTGGATATGCCAGTTGTCTACTCAAGGTACACAATGCAAGTTGGCAGGATAGCATCAGCAACAGTTTACTGTGGGAGAGAACAAACCAGCTTCCATCTGGAGAGGAAATTATGAAAAGACGCTGGAAGTATGTATGACATACATTGCAGAAACCATTAAACTGCGTCAGTAGGCAAGCTCCAACTTAGAATTCTGAAGGGACACATAAAAGAAGAAGACAAAAATACATTATTTCGGGAATTAGAAGCAGACATCAAAAGGATGAATAGCAACTGGAAAGAACAGGGTTGGATGGAGAATGTTGGTGTGCGACCTATGCTTCTCCACGAGGGTTAGCAGGCGTAGCTAAGTAAGTAATCGTTGTTCTAGTTTTTACGTAGTTTTCTTATGTGTGGTATGTACTATTATTATACATGAGCTACTTTACGAGCTCGTGTTTACAACCACTTGGTCACCACTAGTGATGAATGCATACATGAATACATGCGTTACCAAGTACTTTAAGCACGATATTTATGCATTCCACCAATTTCCAATTTACATATTTCTCTTATTTACAGAAGCAAAATTAATTTTGTGAGAAAACCCTTTTGTTGCTTGTTTTGTTAACATTAGTAGTAATCTGTGAATCAAAAGCGAATATTAAACTTACAATATGTGTTAAGTTTTCCGTTTGAGACATGTCTATAGTCAAATTATTATTAATTCCGTAAAATATACCGAAACCATTGTGACTAGAAAAGTTCAACTGTATCGGTGCCGGGAAATAATTCTAGATTTTCTACGTCATCGCATTGTAGTTTCAAGAGTACATCTTCGTAAAACATATTAAAGGATCTACATTTGCAAATCAGAGCAAAACATGCTAGCAAGTAGTATTAGTTTGAAAACCTTGTAGTTTATTTCTGTTTTTTTCCACTGGCGTTTTATGCTTAATAGTCTTGATAAACCTCCCATTTTCGTCGAGCTGAAATGTTTGATATGCTAAAAACCATTCGGTTCTGTACTTCCGAGTTTATATAGTTTAACTGAAAATCGTAAACTTAGTAATTTACTATGACTAATATTATCTATATGTCGTTAACCTACACAGGAACTAGCGAAATAGCTAGCTAAATTTCTAAACCTAATCCGCAATATTTATGTATTTTTATTTAATTATTTTAACATAAATATTGGTACAAAGGGGCACCGAATACATATGTGCCACACAAGTCACTTGATTTGTGTGTGGGCTATGATACTGCTCGGGTGTCCAAACCGAAGCAGGTGGTTTTCTTAGGGGGCCACACCCGGAGCCATCGACCTGAAGGTCTACAAGGCAGTGGAGCAACGTTAGGAGTGCACTCCCATGGTAGCCGATGACCAATAATAGGTTAATACGCCTTTTGTCCCCTCAGGATACTGGAGCCCGTATGCACCACTGGTTTGGAATTAGGGTTTTCCAACTCCCGTAGGTGGACTCTCTGTGTCCACCAACCCGGTTAAAGCGCCAAACACTCGCTTTTCACCCTCTCAATTTCGTAAACACTCCCGTCACGAGAATTCAGTGAGTAGGAGCTCCATAGGAGTGGCTGTATACATGTGACCATGTGAGAGAGTATTTTTGGGGAGGTGATTCTCTCCGCCCTCTGCCGTACCGTGGCATTCGGGGGCAATGAGCAATAAATTGTGTACGTTTTCCTTAAAAGATACATTTAAACTAACTGACCTTCTTGATCGTTTTGTTATTAATGAAAAGACCATGCATTCTTTTGATGTATACCTTGTTTTTACGAATGTTCCCCTTTTCCCTATTCGGTCAACACTGTTGAAAAATTTACTTTTGTTGTGTACTCTGAAACTTCATGTTTAAAAGTGAACATCTTCGACAAGTTGATGGTGCTGCTATGGGTAGTCTTTTGAAACCTTTCTTAGCTAGTGTATTTGTCATATGTTGAGAGTGTGACAAATGAGCTCATCAGTGAGGTAACTTCATAAGAGATACGTGGATGATGTATTAGTTATGTGTGATAATAATTTCGATACTGCTCAGTCATTAGATAAACTAGATAGTTTACAGGATGATATCGCACTGACCTATGAGGAAGAAAGTAATAACAGATCATCCTTTTTAGACGTACTTTCGAGTCGATGGGAGGTTGGGATTATAATGCGGTCAGTATATAGAAAACCAACATGGAGTGATCAATATTTAAAATTCCAGTTTTTATCCGTTGTAACACGAGCGAAGCTTCGTAAGTGCCTCTCTAACAGCACTCAAAACATATGTGCTGCAGATATGTTTGAAGAAGATGCGGAATTGCTGACAGACACAGTGATATCAAACGGTTATCCACTGGAGTTTATAAATAAGTGCAATAGTCAGTCAACACCAAATCTCTTTAATTCTGTTGCGAAGGAAAGTGTTAACATACCTCTACTATTTGGAAGTGAATCTAACAGTATGATTTTAGGACGGAAACTAAAATCAGCCATCAAAGACATATTACGCTGCTAAACTGATCATGATCGGAGGTACTAATCCCATGATTCCAAATAAACCTAGACATTGCACGAGTAATGCGATGATTTCCCCTTCTTTCCATACTATGTTGATTTTCTCTTTAAAGTACTACTTTGTTTACTTGAACCGTCATTTATTTGACCCTTATTAATTTTCACTTAAGATGCCTTGACAAGTATATGTGACTAGATTGTTCGAGGTGTAACTGCCCAAATACGAAACGTTTTTCAGACCAACTTAGTCTTCTCATTTTTCTATCAAAATGTCGACTTCTTGATCTTTCTTTATTGTGTATAAAATCTTATGCCATTCAGTAAATATGCTGTAAGTAGGATCTGTCGATAAGTTTTCACTCTATGTAGCTCAAAACCTTGTTTTTGACTCTCTGTATATTGAAACTTTTTTAATGATGCAAGTTCGGTTCTAATTTCATGTATTTTTAGTAATGAAACTGGTTATTTTGGATGTTAGAGTTTATGCACAAGTTTTATCCCTAAAATCCGAAATATACTCGTGCAGTATTTTTTATGCTATCTCATTTTTTAATCCTATATCTTATCTTTTCTTTTCATAGGTTCTTCGTGTTGGAGGGTGTGGTTATAAAGTTCTAGTGCTTCTGGAAGGACGTGCTCATGTTTATGTATTCCCTAGCCAAGGTACTAAAAAGTGGGATACATGTGCTCCAGAAGCTGTGCTTCTGGCATCTGGTGGGATACTAACAGATTTAACTGGACAATCTTACAAATACGATCTGAATGCTAAACATGATAATCTTCGAGGCATACTTGCTACTCCTGTCGCCGATTGGTTGCCATCGTATGTTTCTTGTTTGCCAAAAGAAGTGCTTGTCGATTTCTCAGCTCGTGATTAGGTAATACTAAATCTTATTTATTATTATTATTATTGACTTTGTTCAATATTAGATGTGTAGTACACTATAGAATTTTCAGCACAGTGCTGGTCATTACATACATTTCCTATGTGTTTATGTGAATAAGCCTTTCTCTTCGCTATTCCGTAGTCGTATTTCTTTTACTTGATAACAATGTTTATATGACATTCTATATCATCCATAGACTAATTCGTATGTGTTCAAGTGTGTGATTATTTTGTTCTTTTGATTCTTTCTACCAATGTTATAAGTGTTTTAAAAATAGTAATTATTTGGACGAG